AGGCTCGATAGTGCTATGCTGGTTAGTACTACAGATGAAAGGGACTCGGGGGTCATGGTTGAGCACAAGATGAACATGAGCCTTCAGTGTGATGCTGTGGCTAGTAAAGCGAGGAAAAAGCTGGCTAGCATCCACAGATGCTTCTCAAGCAAATCCCGGGATGTCATTCTCCCCTTGTACTCGGCCTTGGGGAGGCCGCAGCTGGAGTAGTGTCCAGTTTTGGGCTCCGCAATTCCAAAAGGATGTGGAGAAGCTTGAGAGGGTGCAGGGGAGAGCCACATGCATGATCAGAGGTCAGGGACCTTATGATGAGAGGCTGAGAACCATGGGGCTCTTCAGCCTGGAAAAGCACAGGCTCAGGGGCCATCTGGTGGCCACCTATAAGTTTATCAGGGGCGCTCATCAGGATCTGGGGGAACGTCTGTTCACCAGAGTGCCCCAAGGGATGACAAGGCTGAACGGTCACAAACTCCGCCGCGACGTATTCAGGCTGGACATAAGAAAGAACTTCTTCACTGTCCGAGCCCCCAAGTTTTGGGATAGACTGCCGCCGGAGGTGGTTCAAGCACCCACTTTGAACGCCTTCAAGAGACATTTGGATGCTTATCTTGCTGAGATCCTATGATCCCTGCTGACTTCCTGCCCCTGGGGCAGGGGGCTGGACTCGATGATCCTCTGGGGTCCCTTTCAGCCCAAATGTCTATGAAATCTATGAAAGTAGCAGAGCAAAATGAGATAATCTATGTAATAGTCTTTTCAGATTGAGCAATAAATACTAAGCAAATAGGGTGTTTTTACACATGATCTGGGGTGGGGGAGGACAGAATTTTAATTAGAGTGGTAATTAAAATGCTTGCAATGTCTTGTGCATTCAGCGTCCCACATTTCAAAATGGCAGCAGGTACATGAACTAAAGCTCATTCAACGAGCCTCCCACCAGCCTGAAACACAGGAACACTGAATAGATGAGATGCTGAAGCATGCGGGAGTGCTCGGATTAGACTGCTCCAGCAGACGTGATTAATTTGCTCTGATGTGTTCTAATCAGAATGCATCAGAGCATGTGTATAGGTGCCCATAAAGTTCAAGTTTGCTCAAAGTGTTTTAATTAATGGCTAATGTGTAAACTCACTGGCCCAGTGGTTCCCAACCTTTTTCTGCTGCAACCCGTTGCTGGGAGCAGAATGTGGTGGCAGCGGTGGCCCGAGGGCAGAGGAGCTCCCGCAGGCGGCGCAGCTCGTCCATTGTGTGTGGTGCTGCCGGCATTGCACTCATGACCCTCATTTGGGTCACAACCTGAGGCTGGGAACCACTGCACTAGCCTCTAATTAAATACCTTCCTTCCCCAACTATGACTAAACACAACAACTCCCATCTTCGAATTCCAGTTTGAGAAGCTTTTTTTGCTCTTAATTATATAAAGAAAGGGACCAAAGACAATAGTTACTTTTTCCTGCCACCATTCCAGAATAATAGGTTTTTAGTCTGGTTTAAAACATTTCAAGAAAAGAAGCTTCCCTATTTCCTTAGAAAATAAAGCTAAGCTGATAATAATAAAGATAAGAGAATAAAGCTAATAATGTGTCTTAATCCTGTATGGGATTTCTCTCCTGATATTCCTCTTACCCTTTTCCCTCTCAATTAACCATATTACTCCCTCATCCCTCCACCATATTAACTAGTGTTATTAGGATGGATCTGTTCAGAGTGGTGGCAGCCACATCTATGCATTACAGGAATTACAGATTTCTCTCTTTTCTTGGGTCCACAATTTACAGCTATAGATAAGAGCCCGATGCATGAGAAAACGTAGCTGTCTAGCTGCCTGACTACACCCACAAGCCATGTAAAATGTCTATATGCCTTCATTTTCAACAGCATTTATTTAAGGCACAAAAAGATGTGGCTAAATTAAGGGCAATTTACAAAGTAAATCCCATATACAATATAGAGACTTTTTCAAAAAGCCAATGAAGGTAATACCGCCCAGGGGGCATAAACGGTATGGCAGGCATGATGTAGGCAATGATTTTCTAAGACACTCACAGCAGGCCTAATTGCCTTTTATGCTTTAGAAAAACTTGGAAAAAAATCCCAGGAGTTTCAAGATTACCTCTCACAACAAAGGCTATTTTTCTATCCAAGCAGCAGCGTTAAAAACTGTGAAAGGGTCACCCTGTCATTAAAACTTTAATTTTTGTTTTTTAAGCTCTGGCTTTAAAACAACTTACCCACTGTGGGCAACTGCCATCCATCACCATGGAAATGAACACAAGCAGCAGGCAACAGTTATCAGAATTCATACAAATGTCAATGCCAGCTGCCAATTTAGGGCTGCACATATCATTTTTATATTAGCATCCACCCATTTCAGGAGGCAATGACGTGCAAGTGCTTCCACAATGCTAACAAGCATTTTTTTTTTAAGACTTCAACGATAATTCCACGGTTCCCCTTCTCCTCCAAAACCATCCCCTTTTCCAATAGGGAGAACGCTGAACTGGAAACCTCTTACAAACTGGACATGGAATGACTTACTGGATTAGACTGTCCATCTCCCTACCAATCTTTTTTGAAGAGAATTCTTAGCACTTACTCTAAAAGTTAAGTGTTTAAAAAAACCAGGCTTCTTGATCTCCCTTGGGATAATACAGTGACACATCTTGCTGATGAATGGTATTTACCCCCTGACATTCCTCTTGAGTTTTCCTTTTCTTAATTAATCCTAGTTCCACTTAAAATTTCTTTGTAACACAAAATATATTCTCAAATTCCTGGTTTTACAGATGTCAGGTTTATATTCCCCTTTAAGTGGTAAATCAAGTTGTAGGTACTTATCTGTTTGACTCTTTACAAGTCAGTGCTTTCTTTCTAAATCTGGTTTTCTTTTTCTTAATTCCTCCCCATTTTTCTACTGGTAACAAAGTGACCCAACTTGAACCCGTTATTTCAGAAAGTGTCACTGCAAAGCATTTAAAGGGAAAACAGGATTCTGGCCCTTTTGCATGATAAAAGGATGCATTTCTATAAGCAGCCTAAAAATGCACTGCCTCCTTCACTACCCTGCTGCATTAAACTCCTGTCTAATGTCACATCCTCTATCTCACTCTTTCCAAGATTTCTATTAAACATCAGGAATTCTACTGAATATCAGTGTTGCAAGTGATACTCCACAAAAACAATTACATTCTCCAAGTTATGACCACCCCTATATAACACCTCTAAATCTCTCTGTATATCACTGTCCTGAATGATGGTCTCAATACCTGCTTCCAAGCATATATGTGAACCTTACAAATCATTCCCCCCTTTTCCACATCTTTAAAGGAAAAATATTTAATGAGAAGGCAGCTAGCACCAAACCCTGTGGCAACTGCTATATTTGTCTCCCAGCTTGAAAAAATCATTTTTCATTCCCCTTTATTTATAGTCTTTCAGCCAGTTTTAAAACTATTGGATGACAGTGCTCACATTCAAGCCAATCTGAACAAATGCAATTGCAAGACCATGAGGCTTTGTATCCAATGTGTTATTAAAACCCAATCATAAAACATCCGCTTCATTTTCTTCAGTCCTTTTTTTTTTTTTTTTTTTTTTAATTCTGTCAAAAAGTTATCCAGCTTGTCTGGCAAGATTTGCTCTTCATAAATTTCTACTGCTATTTTCTCAGTCTTATCTTCTATAAGCCAGATTTTTAGAAGAGCTCAATTTTCATTTAGGTACTGGGAATGAAGAAGCCAGAGTGCTGGAAGTACACAGCTCCCAGAAGCTCCCTCCTCTCTCCACTGGGAGCTGAGAACTTAACCGGGGGGGGGGGGGTGTCTGGTTTTGTTTTTAGATGATTCTCCTACTAGTTGTTCCAGATTTTCAAGGGAAAAAAAGCCAGACTTGGTTTTAAGCTGTGTTTATATCTGCTCCCTTTACTTCCTTCCATAAAGCCAGTTCAATTTACTCCCCGAAAGACTTTACATCATCACTCAATTCTTTTAATTCTTTATTTCCTGCATGGGGTCAAATTTATTTTGAGGAGTAGCTTTTGTTAAGAGGACAAGCTCCGTTCCACCATAATAAAATTAGGGTTTTGTCAAGCAAAACAGTCTACCTATTCTCTTAAGTAGCATTCAGAAATGCAATGCTGGAGAGCAAATTATTTTAAGAGAGTCCTGATTAAATTATTTCTAGTTGAGTTCTTAAAAACGTACATATTCTTTTCTTACCTGGGTACTCTTGGATCATGCCATGTGCTTACACCAGTCTGAGTATGTAGGAAATAAACCTGGCCCTGCTGAGTTGTCCTTTGTTCTGTTAAATCAAAGACAAATTAATATATATATATATAAAACAAGAAGAGACACACACACAAAAACGGTGTCCATCATCCTCTCCCCACTTAATGCATCAAGATCAGGAACAAAGTTACTAGCCAAACTGTCTTAGTAGAAATGATCTGGAAACTCAGTCAAGTAAACAGATTTTCTTATACTAAAATAACCAGGAACTGTCAAGAGACTGACATGCACACAAAATTAGGTTCCTGACAGGAGGCTTGGTAGGTTGTAAAAGGTAACGTAAGAAATCCAAATCAGAGCCATTTAGCATAGCAGCAGCTTTGTTTTCCATATAGATGAGACCAAGATTTCTATAGTGTCACAATTATGAAAAAGCAGTACAATTTGTAGATGTGGACAGGAGAACAGTATGTTTCTTTTCTGAAGTTCACATCAGTCTATTACTAAACAAAGATTTCACTTTCCTCCAGAATTGTGCTTACAACAGGATTACAAAAACTTCAGCTAAACTTGGCTTTACTTGAGCTAAGACAATGTTTGAACTCTAGAATAACGTATAATCACAAACACAGTTAACAAGAAAAAGAATCCCATGTAAATGGGACCAAAAAGTATTATGAGAGTCTAAATCAGATTTTTTGGCTAAACTGGCTTTAAAAAATTAAGACAGGGCATCACAGACATTATATCAGCCGTTCAACAACGTAGAAACATGTTTGAATAAGAAGTCTTTGTACCAGTCCTTCAGACCAACCAAATTTGGTAATGTTTCTCAAGTAGTCCAAGACAAAAGTATTTAAATATTCCCACAGCAGTACACTGGAAAGATTCTAGTTGCAAAAAAGATAAAGTCTGGACACAATATTCAGCAAGAATGCAGTCTTACATAGACAGCAAGAATTCAAGGCATCTATTAAATAGTCCATATTTATTTTAAAATATTATACTTTCCTTAAAAGTACAGTTAGATGTCCTTAACCCAGATATCTAGTTATAATCCATGACATATAAGTATTTTCATAATGCCAGCTAACAGTGCGGAACACCACATCAGCTGTAAAACTACCTTAAAAAATAGGTTAGATGTTTAATGAAATTACAGTTCTCTGTATTCCAGTATTCTATAGCTATTATTGTGGCCAGGAATTCAACTGGTGGCTAAGTGTTACAACTCTAACCACTTGAATCAGCATTCATTCAATTGTTGAAGACTAACAAGACCATTTTAAAAACTGTTTCTTGTATTAAGGCCTGGTGGATGGAGCACACAGGACTGTGGTTCAGGATTTCTGTGGTCTGTTCTTGGCTCTGTTGGGTGACCTGCAGCAAGTCACTTTGCTCTCTCTGCTCCAGCTACCTCATCTCTAAACTGGGGATGCTGATCCTTATCTTCTCTGTAAAACACTTAAATGAAAAATGCTACATGAGGTACGAATAATCATCATCATCCCTGGTTGACAGCATGTCCCAACGCTCATATGGAACAGCAGTCATGGAAAGACTGTTGAGGTATAAATGTAACTCTTTAGTGTAACTCTACTCACAGACAGTAGTGCTGGCATTACATTCAGCATCTCAAAATACCAGAGAGATGTAACCTATATGGCCGAATCACAACACAACCTTGGTTCCTCTCCAATGATGCCTGCACAATCCCATCTAGGACAGCAATGACAATTAGTACTCGCCTTGCTTTCTTGTCCGTAACAATGATGCCTGGGCAACTGAGTGGCACAGGGATCCATAATGGCCACAGTATTCTAATAAGCTTTGGTGTCATCACCTTCCAGCACTGCTAGAGACTTGTATTTGCATCTAACTATAATGGTGTTAATCAGCTTTTTTATTTATGAGGCACTGCCCCAATCACAACATTGTGCCATTCAGGGTATTCTCAGCTAACAAGAACCTGACACCTGCCTGTGATATGCTACATCTTTTCCATAGTGAGGCCACAAAGTGCTTACATGTTACACCAATACAATGGTTTGCTTCACCAAAGAGCTCTCTCCATCTTACCTTGCTGGTCAAGTGTTGGCAATCCCTATAGTTTGCCATCCTTCCACCAGTTTCTAAGTGGGCTCTCTTTTATTGTACCTTGGTCAGTCCCCCTTCTAGTGCTAAAGGCACAAAATCCCAATTATGGCAAAATCCCAATTACTTGTACTTAAAAAGTCCTGTATCCTTCCATATGTTCATTTCCAAAAGTTTCAAGACCTAAGAGGCTTCTTCTGTACATCTTA